CGGCTCCCCGATACATCCTGAGAAGACAATTTGACATTTCCATACCTAATCGTACCCATCAAGCCGACCTCCTGTTTCTCCTGGACGACAGGGTGAGAAACAAAACGTACAAGTACGTCCTGAACATCGTGGACGTTGCCAGTCGCTACAAGGAAGCGGAGCCGTAAACGACCAAAGATTCGAGTCAAATCGCTAAGGCCTTAGAACGTATCTACAAACGCAGTCACTTGACCTGGCCGACCGGATTACAAGTCGATTCCGGACGCGAGTTCATGGGAGCTGTGTTACAGCTGTTATCGAAGCATAAAGTCCGTATGAGACGAGGCATGGTCGGAGCTCACCGAAGCCAAGCCATCGTCGAAAAAATCAACAGGACTTTAGCCGAGCATTTGTTCAGACATCAGTATGCCCGAGAGATGGCCAACCCAGAAAAACGAACGACGGAATGGGTCCTACGCTTACCGCGAGTGGTGTCGGCGATCAACAACGAAGTCACTCGACTCTTTGATAAAAGACCCGTCGAAGCCATTCGAATGAAATCCGTGATGACCGAATCGGCTGCGCCATCGCGTCACGGCAAAGAGAAAAAACTACTGGACCGGGTCGTCATGAGGTATCTGTACCAGCCCGGTTAACTCAAAGGATGGGACAAACGTCGTGCCACAGACCCCGTATGGTCCATGAAAACATACCACATCGACCGAGTGGACATCAAAGACGACGAACCGAATCTGTATTACTTGCAAGACGCACCAGGTAGGGGATTCGTCCGAGAGGAATTGATGATTGTCCCTCATGACACGGTATTATGTCTCTCATTATCAACATGTGGAGATTGATCGAGAAACGGTTGTTCAGACGCGTCGGGATGGACGTCCATGGCCTCGATGTTTACACTGCCCTGCGTCGAGTCATAAGTCGAGGGAAATTCACAAGCCTGTACGATAGTTTAGGTCTCGTGGGCACCGAACGGTTACAACGCCTCATGGATACGTTAATCGATTATAACTCGAGAATGTGATGTCCCGTACTGCTTAATCCACTTCAACGAGTTCATGGCAGACCCACTCCATAAAGTCATCGCCGAATATTGCGGCTACATTTAAATGGGTCGGTCGGTGTCCAACCCCCGATGCTAAGCTCGGCCGCCATCTTTGTTTGGCTTAGCAACTGAGGTCTAGGCTGGCGGTACATCGAAGGATGGCTCTCGATAGACCCTCGCCGTTTTTAAGGCTTAATTGAGAGGCTTAATTCCCACAAATAAGCCTCTAAGCCGCATCTGCGGCAAAAACCCCACTCTACTACTACTGATGAGATAATTATTATGTGCATTGTATGCACCATCTGACACCCCTGTGTTATATTGGGATCAACTAGACACTGAAAACTATTTTTTGTAGATTTATGCGCCTTATGTTGTTCTACACGGTGACGCTTTGCTCAACAGCAATAGTCATCATTTGCACCATATTTTAGCTTACGTCAAAAATAAAAGAGTTAAGAAATATGTACATTATATTGAATGGACGGTGCAAGATGTGACGAATCTACACATTTTTGTGGCCTGTGGCAGAGGTACTATGCTGGCTTGCCGCACGGAACTCTGGGTAGAAGAGCGGCCAGAAAAATGTGACGATTCGTCACATCTTGCAATGTCCATTCAATATAACGTACAGATTTCTTTTACTCTTTTATTTTTGACGAGTCTACACATCTAACTAAACATCTGTAATAGAATGGTTTAGTTTCACTGAGAAAATATCCAGAACATGTAACACTATTTCGATTTGCGTAGCGATTCTTTGTTTACATAGGTTGTACGGCTCCACGTGCTGTCATCGAAGCTGATGGAGAGCAAACGATGCAGCCAGTTTGATATCTAAATATGTACTGTCATAGACCTTACTGTCGCAGTGGTGGTAGAATATATATGTAACAATGTAAAACAATATGAAGAGAGCGCCGAAAAGCTTTCGTGAGTCCAGTCTCTTCTTATTATGAATATGCGCGTTTGATCACAAACAAGAGAAAAGTCCGGTCACGTGATATGCAAATTAGCCTGTGCCAGTGATGTTATGTTAAGTCATCGCTGTGCCGGAGTGTGGTTATGTTAGTCATCGCTGTGCCGGAGTGTGGTTATACAGGTGTCTGATTTTCCGTGCGCAATTATAAATGGTTTACGGTAATGCACTATTTTTGTCTGGCCACCAACATGGCGGACTCCAAACAACCACGCTACCGATGCATCGATAAATTACGGCGATTTTGCTGTCGGAAATTACACATAATATTATGTCTTTAAAGATAGATTTAGCGATGACGGGCTCGACTCACTATTTGCGTGAATCACAGCAATAGGTGTTTATATACATACAAAGTACTTCGAAAGCATGGAAACAAATATTCAGTCGAACAAGATCAAAACATCGTCTGCTTTCCGAATAAAAATTAAGCAAGAAAAAATATGTTCACGTTGATTCTATGTTATGTCATAATAGATCCAGCAATAGACTGCTACATAATTTCCGTGTTAAATTTATTATCAGCTTTCGTCAACGATATCGCCACTGATCTTGATCCGGTAACGGAGGATGCATTAACATCGAACGCTGAAGAAATTTTAATGCCTCCCGTCCACATAAATAAACAGTTGGGTTATCAATTCAAACAAAATTATATATTTTTGAGAAATTTGTACTGTTTCAAATTTAGAGGTAGTAAAACACAATTACCGTTCTGCACAATCTGCAAACCGTTCTGTTTAGCCCAACATATTGTTTTCTAAAAGTATAATATCGTTGAAAAAGTTATTTAGCTAGTCATGATCCCTCTTATCCATTACACTGCTTGATCTAAAGTAAAGTCTATTAAATTATAATTAATTACCTTACCGTGTTTATGCCAGAGGTACACCCTCATGTCCTGTTCCATCCTTTCGGAAATATCACTACAAATCTGGCTCATTGTCAACAGCCTCGCGAACATGCCAGCGGATCCGATTCAATTTGAATCTACTACACTTTGAAGCCACTAGGTCACAAAACACTTTCCAAAATGTAGAAAATAATATCCGTAGAATCGAATTTGAGCACAAAGTAAACACATGAGTGTGTAAGAGTCACCACAGCTGTCGCACGCAGACGTAGAGGTGCGTGAAATCGTCAAGTTGACAGGGCGCAAAATTCAACAGTATCTAGAAATTCGGTACAACACGGACTTCTCATTACAGCAAAAGCGCCTGTACTCTTAAATGTTGTACCAGTACCAGTAATTAGATATCAAAGACTATCTCATTCATATAATCAGGTTAACCTTGCGCAAACTGTCTGAGGCTCTCCTGTCGCATCTTTCCAAATTTGCACGTAAATGTAAACAATGACTTCCGAGAAAAGGTCAAGGCCATGAGGTTGCTGCCATTATTCTGGCGGGGAAAGGGTCTACGGTGGAATTTTCAAATGTGAACCAAGCTTTTTAAACTTATTTGATATATGTTTTCCAACTTATCAGGTAATGATTGGTTGTTAATGCATTGAAAAAAACAAAACGTGATTTGTTATTACTGAATCTGGAGTTTGTTAGTTATTGACGGTTTGCCACCAATCACCCCGTTTCGGGCGATGCCACTTGAGATTGGAATGCGAGGCCGCTTCACGTATTGACTCGTAACCAAAGAAAGAGTTCCACCTGAAATTGTCATGGTAGAATGGAGATAAACTTACTGTGTTGGAAAATCAGAGGTATATAACGAAATTATAATAGCTCAAAATTGTTCATTTAAAACCTCACGCTTCGCGTTCGGCTTTAAATGAAATTGAGAGCTATTATTATTTCGTTATATACCTCTGTTTTTCCCCCACAGGAGGTTTATCTCCTAAATAAACGCTATGTACAAATTGATGACCCTCAAGTACGTGTGGACAAATTTCATGGCTTCCCCTACTACCTCCGAAGAATAAAAATTATGAACGCCCCTTGGCTTCCCCCATCGCACTTTCCGTTTGGATATGGTTACCGAATTATGAATCGTCGTGTGATGGGATTTCGGACACTTAGGAGCGTCTTATATATTTAACTGTTATGAAACATGTCACTAACTTCATCTTAAACACAATTAGGCAAGACCAATTTTATTTCTTGTTTTACGGATTTTTTTCCACATATAAAGCCTAAAGGCAGGAGGGAAATAAAATCAAAATAAAATCACCAGTCTAAGTATAATATTCCTTCTAAATACTAAAAGTATTTTACTTTTGGCAATTAATGAAGTGTATAAGAGGCAAAAAACAACCGTAAAAAGATTTTCTTTTAAGTTTACATTTTCGGCCATTAGGATTTTATTTTTGGAGCGGGGAAAATTACTTTTTAATTTCTTTTTCTTATTCTTGAAAAAATATGACCGGCGGATCCGTAAAACAAGAAATAAAATCAAACTGGCCTAATTGTGTTCACACGAATTTATCTTTACGTATTGGGGGAATGCAGCAAGCTTTAACGAGATAAATGTCATCTGACAAGTTAAGGCATCATTCAAGAATTTACAATGTCTGCTTTGCTGCAACCCACGTTGTAGCCCGACTACGCACTGTCGCCCGGAAAACATGATGTCTGATCCGACGACATTTATGATAGTGGATCCTGTAAAAGAAATAATGCATGCGTACCGTACATTTTTTATCTTACTTTATTCACAAATGAGCCTGAGTAAGAAAACCCTCAGATACGAAATACAGTTGAACGCAAGATGAAAAAAGCCCATATTCGGTGATGACGCAATTACGTAAAACCTTTGGATTTGTTTTCCAATAGTAATTGTAAACAAAGACCTCAAAATCGATTGGATAATGCTATTTCAAATGTGCCTACTGTATAGAATATACAGTTTCAGTTGTCGGCATGGCATATGAAGCCCCCCCACACACACACACACCTCCCCCACTACCCCCAAAAAAAAAAATGTCCGTTTTGACCACATGTGCTGTTCCCATTTTGTCAGTAGCCGTTTGGGACTGTTGACGACCATCAACAAGCTCTGGAAATGTTTCACGTCGAAGGCGCCAGTTTCAGATGCTGTTGTGTCCACTGTAATTTAGTGTGTATTGACACAGGTCTGTGTCTTCTGTTCGGTACACAGAACTCCTAGTCGGTGTAATGGCCGGCCTTTTATCACCGACAAATCCGAAGGCAGGACGTCCTCTTGATGACAATCCTATTGAGAACAGACTCACAGTTGCTGTTATTTCCAAAGAACGACATGTGTGTGTTGATTTTCCAGCACATGTACAGAACGTCGACAGAGCACTTGAAACCATTGATGGGATTCGAGGAGTTTTCAAGGTGTGTAAGTAATAATTAACCAAACCTGTAATTATATGTTGGTAAGAGTTTCTCCCGATTTGAGTGGGGAACGACTCATATCTTCTCAATCTCAGTGTCATAGCATTCATAACCTTGAACCTTCTGTGAATTCCTCGTCAACATACCGCCACAGTGGTGTAGTGGTTAGAGCCTCCGCACAGGTTCGATCCCCGGCAGCATCATACCAAAAGACGTTAAAATATGGTACTTGTTGGTCCCTGCCTGGTGCTCGGATTTAATGGGTAAAACAAGGCCTGATCGGCTCGGAGTCAGTATCCTTGTGTCATGTAAGTTCGATCACTTAAGAACTGTCGCTGAATTTTCAAAGTTATATTCATATAATCTTATTTTCAAATCTCTTACCTCTAAACTTGTTTATTTATGTCAAACATTTCCAAAATCCAGGTATTTTGACTGCTTTTCACAATCGGGGCATGGCCGCCCTCTCACTGTCAACACAACTGACCCAGAAAGCTACGTCACATAAGTTCGATCATATGATTGGCTGGCTTGTCACGTAAACAGGATGACTTGTAAGGACGATTTCTTGTGTCAAATTCAGAGTTAGAGCAGTCCCAAGTAATTTTATGGTATTTATGTTCATGAAACGTTCATTTTATGTTTCAATACTTCTAAAAACGATGAAAAGTCACAAATATTCAGCTTATATAGAAGTATTATGCAGGGAATTATTCTTCAGGCTCATCGTGACAGGCATCAAACCTCAGAATGTAGACAAACACCACGAACTGGCTTGCAGAAACGTAAATGTGTTCTGTGCTGACATGTAGGGTGGGTACATTGTGCCAAGGTTGTATTTATCAATGAGGCAATAGCTCGAACTTCATCAAGTACAAATTCACGGAAATTCTCAAAAAGCATTAAGTTTTCTATAACAAATGGCCCTTACTTGTTTCCAAAGTTTTAAATTTTGACAAGGATATCACGTGACTGGACATGTCACAATTAGACCAGCAACGTAAACAAACAGAAGACAGGGGTGCTGTCAATTTACAACGTGTGAAATAAGTACTGTTTACATTTTATTGGAGCTGATAAAGTTACATTATTGATCTAGGGTTAAAAAGTAGTTGTTTGCTGAATATGAGCTATAACTTACGTTTGGTAACTTTACACGAAACATTTTCCGGCCCAAACGAATAAAAGTGGTGTCACCAGAAGATCAAAGCTGCAGATATCGTAAGTTATCGCTACGTATTGCGACAATTACCATTCAAAATGGGCGATCGAGGTTACATGACGATCGAACTTATGTGACTTGACGATATAATGTGTCTGAGTGGGGTATTCATGCTTAGCGGTGGCATGATATCTCAGTGAAATGTTCCTAAGTACGACGCTAAACCCCATTTCACCTCACTTCCTCATCAACATTCAGACTTCAAAACCGGTTTGTTTTCTTGGACGCTCAAGGCTTGTCATAATGTCATCCATTAATTCTTTAACTTATGAAACAAAATTTATCATGTTTATCATGATGATAGATTAGCTATTCACCGATGTTTCCTGCAGTTGCCGATCATGTTTTTCTGAATCACGGCTAACAGGAACTAACCAGCAGTTATTGCCACTTCTGAAGTTTTCAGGGGAGGTGGGGTAGTCTGGTGGTTAAAGTCCGCTCGTCACGCCAAAGACCCGGGTTCGATTCCCCACATTGGTACAATGTGTGAAGCCCATTTCTGGTGTTCCCCGCCGTGATATTCCTGGATATTGCTAAAAGCGGCGTATTCATGTTATTCCCCAATTGTGACATACATTTTGGAAGAAAACTATGTTGTCTTTCAAACCTTGACTAAATTGACATATTAAATACATTTCATAACTGGAATTTGTTTTAAAAAATGAAATTTAAAAGAACAAAACTCACTCCCATTGTGAATATTGACAAATGCTGTTATCTTACCTTCATGTAAAATACTTTAATTTCATTGGTCAATGACGGTTTAACAAGTTTCCCAGGAGTGTGACAACTGGAAAAAATATTACCCGCTGCCACGGTAACCGCCAAGCTCTCCGACGAGAAGCTGAAGCACTAACAATCGTATGACGTCATAATATGACGCATGCTGTGCCCGGAGTTCGAAAACTGTTCGATCAGCTGTTTTTGTGTTCACTTTGTACAGATTTAATTTACCGACTTTCACTGCTTTATTTAAGCTATTTTATACATTGAGTGGTTTGCACACTCAAACATAGTGAAGATCCGGGGTAGAATAGGTCTTCAGCAACCCATGTGCTTGCCATAAAAAGGCGACTATCTTGTCGTAAGAGGCGACTAACGGGATCGGGTGGTCAGTTTCGCTGACTTGGTTGACACATGTCATCGGTTCCCAATTGTGCAGATCGATGCTCATGCTGTTGATCACTGGATTGTCTGGTCCAGACTCGATTATTTACAGACCGCCGCCATATAGCTGGAATATTGCTGAGTGCGGCGTAAAACTAAACTCACTCACTCACTCACACTCAAACATAATTAACAATTTTTATAGCAGTTTTATGCTTGTCAAAATTTGTTTCACTGATGTGAAAAATCCAGTCGAGAGGCAGACGCCATTTTGTTTGCTTGTCATATAGTCGGTAGCGATCTTTGTACATTTAATATGGGGGTAAGATAAATACGTTGTATGCTTCTCCCTTGGGTAATACGGTCTGGGTAATACCGACTCGGGTGACACTGCTACAAAGAGGCATATATCAGACCGTATTACCCTCGAGAGAAGCATACAACTTATAATGTAAGGTGATTTATTCACCTCATATAATTTGTTTATAAATCGTACCTGAATGGATGATATGAAATGTAATTGTAGCAGGCTACCAAGTGGTGCTATTCAATGTACCAACGCCAAACGGGGTGTGAACTGTGACTTACGCCACAATTTATTTGCTCAAAGTATATATTATATTTTCACCCTGTAACATAATGATAAACAATCAACAAACAATCATATCACATCTTTACTAGTCTAGGACATTGCACATAACTGTTACAGTTACTGACAATAATGACTTATCTGTCACATATACTCCATGTGATACATATTACTTAAACTGTTACAGTTACTGACAATAATTACTTATCTGTCACATATACTCCATGTGATACATATTACTTAAACTGTTACAGTTACTGACAGTAATGACTTATCTGTCACATATACTCCATGTGATACATATTACTTAAACTGTTACAGTTACTGACAGTAATTACTTATCTGTCACATATACTCCATGTGATACATATTACTTAAACTGTTACAGTTACTGACAGTAATGACTTATCTGTCACATATACTCCATGTGATACATATTACTTAAACTGTTACAGTTACTGACAGTAATGACTTATCTGTCACATATACTCCATGTGATACATATTACTTAAACTGTTACAGTTACTGACAGTAATGACTTATCTGTCACATATACTCCATGTGATACATATTACTTAAACTGTTACAGTTACTGACAGTAATGACTTATCTGTCACATATACTCCATGTGATACATATTACTTAAACTGTTACAGTTACTGACAGTAAATACTTATCTGTCACATATACTCCATGTGATACATATTACTTCAACTGTTACAGTTACTGACAGTAAATACTTATCTGTCACATATACTCCATGTGATACATATTACTTAAACTCTTACAGTTACTGACAATAATTACTTATGTCACATATACTCCATGTGATACATATTACTTAAACTGTTACAGTTACTGACTAATTACTTATCTGTCACATATACTCCTTGTGATACATATTACTTAAACTGTTACAGTTACTGACAGTAATTACTTATCTGTCACATATACTCCATGTGATACATATTACTTATCTGTCACATATACTCCATGTGATACATATTACTTATCTGTCACATATACTCCATGTGATACATATTACTTATCTGTCACATATACTCCATGTGATACATATTACTTATCTGTCACATATACTCCATGTGATACATATTACTTATCTGTCACATATACTCCATGTGATACATATTACTTAAACTGCATCAATTCCGATAAGACATATAAGCAACAAATAAATGCAGTTCACAAAAAGGATTATAAATATATATTATACTGAGACATGAAATATATTAGCAGCCAAATATCACAATGATAATCTCTCCACACATATTTGTCGCATAAATATATGTGAAATATAAACACATTAAAAGGGTACGAAATATATGTTAGTCAGGTGATAGTGAGCATCGTCTACCTTTACTGATAGACAAGCAGCGTCTCCATCTATAAGTGATAACATAACAATAAGTATATTCTGCTAACTTACCGGTAATCTAATAACTTATCATAATGAAACATACATCACTCTAATTCCATAATGGCCCTGTCACACTTCTGCATATTCTAATTCCTTATGAGATGTGCATTCACTTTTCTTTCATATGCAGTTGTACGCACAATGCGCACAATGCGCACCTCATATGCACAATGCGCACCTCATATGCATCTCAATCAGTTCGTGCAAGTTTTAGGTACAAAAGCTTGATGTTCACGCTATGGAATCTGCATTGGTAACGAAAACAGCGGGAAACAGCTAACTTTTTTATAAATTGGGAATATGCTCAGAATATGCTTGGCATTCGTCAGAAGTGTGTCAGGCATGCGTAGTGGTGTTCCGATGATCGAAAATCGATCAAAAGGATTAAAAATAATTATCGATTGTAAAAAACATATTTTCAATTTTGTTGTTTTAGTATAACACACTTGAATAAAGAAAATTAACCATTAAATTTGACGTATATTCACAAACAAACATGCCATCAACAGCATAAAGCTATGATCATTGTAAACGTTTAAACACTGTTTTTGTTTAATTACAATTCCAGTGTCTTTCCGGCATGTGTGCATTTCATTGCATGGCAGTATTAGTTATGAAAAAACATAATATGAAAAAACCTGGGG